TATGGGATTCCCTGGTTATTTATGCAAGATTATAGGTAACTATCTATCAGATAGGAGCCTATCTTTCACCGACTGCGATGGTGTTATCCGTGTATCACAGATGTCATGTGGAGTTCCACAGGGTTCGGTCCTTGGACCCACCCTGTGGAACATTGGTTATAATAGTATATTCGGTTTATTCCTGCCGGAGGGTTGTTGGACACTGGGATACGCGGATGACACCATTCTGTTGGTTTCGAGATCAGATTTAGACGAAACGAGGAGCAGGGCGATGCTCTCTGCGGGCATGGTTGTGAGGGAGATTGAGAGACTAGGTCTTAAAATCTCTCCTCACAAAACTGAAATCGTAGGTTTCCCGGCCTCTGTAGTTGGGCGATCGCCTTCCAAAAGCCTATTTATTAAAGACAAAGACATTAAAATAGCCAAAAGTATAAAGTATCTCGGAATAATAATAGACGAAGACTGGCACTACACAGAACATTTTAGGTATGTAGCTACAAAGGTAGAGAAAATCGTGAGGGCTCTATGGGGGATAATGCCCAACTGCAAGGGCCCGGGGGAGAGGAAGCGGCGTCTATACCTCAACGTGTTAACATCGATCATTTTGTACGGGGCTCCACTATGGTACAGAACGTATTGTTCAAACAGGGTGGCGAAGACCCTTATGGAAAGGCTTCTCCCAAGGATCACACAGAGGGTGTGCTGTGCCTACCGCACGGTCTCGTACGCGGCGTCGATGGTCCTGTCGGAGACCTTACCAATAGAGCACTCCGCGAGGAGACTGGCTGTGGTTTTTGAGCGGATCAGGACGGCCAGAGCTCAGGGGGAGGAGATTTCCCTTAGACTCAGAGAAATAGTTAGCAGTAGGGCTAAACTCGAAGCGCTTCAGGCCTGGAAGCGGGACCTGGAGGCAATGGGGAGCAATCAGCCGGGCTTGAGGGTTAGAGAGGCGGTCTGTCCAAGATTGTTGGAATGGACTGGCAGGAATTATGGGTGGATCACGTTCCACATGTCTCAGATATTTACTGATCACGGCTGTCTGAATAGTTTCTTATACAAGATAAACAGAGCACCCTCACCCCGGTGCTCCCATTGTCTTCAGGGGGTCGATGACGCCCAACATACCTTAGAACGGTGCCAGGCCTGGAGTGCTGACAGAGAGGCGTTGATGAACACGATAGGTGACCGGCTTGACCTTCCGTCCGTTGTAGGTTCCATTCTGGAAAATGGCGGGAACTGGAGAGCATTCTTCAGATATTGCGGAGCGATAATGTGCATCAATGAATCGGCGAAGCGCGAAAGACAGGCCCTGGATTGGAGGCAAGCGGTCGGTTTCCTCGACCCAGAGGCGTCAGATTGAAAACTAGGTTAGGTCAAGATTATTCTCTCTAGGTTATTTTTTTCTGTTAGTATTAAGTAGGTTAAGTGCGCATGTGTTTTATTATCAATATCTAGATGTAAGTTTGTATAGATGTCCCGTTAAATATGTAAGGGCCTTCGGGCAAGGTCAGGGAGGAAGTGGAGTCATGCTCTCGTAAGTAATCCCGCTTCCCCCCCATGTCGGCTAGAGAGAGGGGCAAGAGGTGAGTTTTTTAGCCGGTAGGCGGTCGAGATGATCATCGGGGATCCGAGATCCGGGAACATGATGCGACATCCCTTTCCTTGGATATCTAGCTATCCTTCCGCATGGATGCTGGATTCCGGGTTAGGTTTGTAAGAATCTCTTAGGATAACACCGATGTCGGTAAACGATATCGAATCGATTAGTCCTCATATATATCATTGGGGGCACTAATATACATTTCCAAAGATGCGCAAATCGCATCTGCGGCTCCGGAAATTAGAATATTCGAGAAAGCTCGAGAACAGTCAAAGACAGAAAGTATATAAACGTGTGCAAAGAGGTCACAAGGCTTTTTCGGCTCTTGTTAGTAGAGAGAAAAGTATTGAGATATAAGTGCGAGTGTTTCACAGCGTAAAGGACTTCGCTTAAGGAAAGCTCCGTTGATCTCAGAGGCAATAAAGGACTTTTGCCAATCAATTGTTAACTGGTCAATTTTCCAAGAAGGACTTTGAAAAAGGGCTAGCCAGCTACGAGTTAAAAGAAATACATATATTTCTACCAAAGATAAGTTTAGTGGATAAGACATTTATCATATCTGTACGAAATTGGGTTCATAACGGACATTCACATATTGTTCATTCTTAAATATATTAATTGTTAATTGTTAACTAATCATTTAATTGAATTTTCTGACAAACAATATAAAAACGATCTTACTGGTTCTTTGGATCCACGGCTTCCTACGGATGTCGGTTATCCCTCGATGTGAGTCTCGGGCGAATCCGGCACTACCCTGGGGTACGGGCTCCAGGGTGTCTTAGGAAGATTTTTCTCATCTCCGTAAACAAAAAAA